ATAGACTTTGGTGAAGTTTGTTAGAATTTGTTGGCATTATAAGAATTGATGGGAATTTTTGGAAATTTTTAGAATTGGACTTTTTGTTAGAATTTGTTGAAATTTGTCAGACTTTGTTGAAATTTGTCAAAATGTGTTGTAATTTCTTACAATTTACTGAAATTTCAATATGTCAATGTGTTGGATTTTTTTAGATTCATCCAGAGATGCTCTGGAGATTGTGAGGCTGTCGTGGCTGACACGCCTCTGCAATATTGCATGGACCTCGGGAACAGTACCCTTGGACTGGCAGACCAGGGTGGTGGTCCCTATTTTTAAGAAAGGGAACCGGAGGGTGTGTGCCAACTACCGGGGTATCACACTGCTCAGCCTCCCTGGGAAAGTCTAAGTGTTAGAAAGGAGACTTTGACCGATAGCTGAACCTCAGATTGAGGAGGAACAATGCGGACTCCGTTCCCGGACGTGGAACAATGGACCAGCTTTTGACCCTCTCACGGATCGTTGAGGGGGCATGGGAGTTTGCCAACCCAGTCTACATGTGTTTGGTGGACTTGGAGAAGGCTTACAACTGTGTTCCCCAAGATATCTTGTGGGAGGTCCTCCAGGAGTATGGGGTGCTGGGGTTATTACTCTGGGCCATTCAATCTCTGTACTCCCGGAGTGAGAGCTGTGTTCGTATACTCGGCATTAAGTCGGACTCTCTCAACCTTAGCATTGGACTCCGCCAGGGTTGTGCCTTGTCTCCACTCCTGTTCGTGATATTCATGGACACAGTGTCAAGGTGTAGCCGAGGTCAGGAGGGCATTATGTGTGGAGGCTGAAGGACAGTGTCTCTGCTATTTGCAGACGATGTTGTTCTTTTGGCTGGATCGCAAGGATGTCTCCAGCGCTCACTGGAGCAGTTTGCAGCTGAGTGTGAAGCGGTTGATATGCGGATCAGCACCTCCAAGTCTGAGTCCATGGTCCTAGCCCGAAAAAGGATGGCATGCCCACTCCAGGTAAGGGGAAAGGACTTGCCCCAGGTGGAGGAATTTAAGTATCTCGGGGTCTTGTTCACGAGTGATGGGAAGAGGGATCGTGAGATCCGCCGCAGCCTGGGACAGGTGGTAGCAGTAATGTGGTCACTGTACCGGACTGTAGTGGTGAAGAGAGAGCTCAGCCATAAGGCGAAGCTCTCTGTTTACTGGTCAGTCTACATCCCCACCCTCACCTGTGGTCCTGAGCTGTGGGTAATGACCGAAAGAATGAGATCGCAAATACAAGCGGCGGAAATGAGCTTCTCTGCTTCTCCACAGGGTGGCGGGCTACACTCTACTTGATAGGGTGAGGAGCTCGGTCATCCGGGAGGAGCTCGGAGTAGAGCCACTACTCCTCTGCACTGAGAGGAGCCAGTTGAGGTGGTTCAGGCATCTGATCCGGATGCCCCTGGACACCTCCCAGTGGGGATGTACCAGGCACAGCCTACCGGGACAAGACCCTGCGGTCGTCCTAGGACCCGCTGAGGGATTATATCTCCAATTTGGCCTGGGAGCGGCTTGGGGTCCCCGGGAATGGGCTGGAGGTGCGGGGGACAGGGTCATCTGGGATTCTCTGCTCTCCCAACTGCTACTGCGACCCTAACTGGACTAAGCGGTTGATGATGATGATGGCAAATTTGGAAGAATTAGTTGGATTTAGAATTAGTGGGATTTTTCAAAAAAATGTTACAATATATTTAAATGGGTTGAAATTTGTTGAAATGTGCAAACAATTTGGTAGAATTTGTTGATTTTTTTGGATATAGAATTAGTTTTTTATTTTTACTAAATTTGTCATAGTGAGTAGGAAATTCTTAGAATTTCTTGGAATTTCTTAGAACTTGTAGGAATTGTTTAGCATTTTTAGTATTATTAGAATTAGTGGGAATTATTCGAACTTGTTAGATTTAGATGGATTTTTGTTGTTGTTCTTTTGAAATTTGTTGTTTATTGCAATGTGTTGGAATTTGGTAGAACTTGTTAAAGTGTCTTCAAAAGTTGTTGAGGAACTTCAGAGGTACCTGACTCTGCTACGTCCTCCACTGTAGCTCCTTGCTGCTCAGCCATGAAACCAAGAACTGAGAACACAGCGAATCCAGCCACGACACTCGTACAGCTGTTCAACACACACAGCCAGATCGAGTCCCTGACACACACACACACACATACACACATACACACACACACACACACACACACACACACACACACACACACACAGGACCTGCAGATAAATAAATATCCACTGTGTGGCGATGTTTCAGCAGGTGATGGTGTTAATTAGCTCACTTGTAGCAGTTGTTGTTGTATTTGTTGTAGCTCCCCAGCGCAGTGAGTGACCCTGCAGCTACACTGTATGAGAAGAACACCTGAGTACCTGCCTCCATCCACACCTGCACAGGTAGCACAGACACATAAGAGAATCACAGTCAGGGAGCGGAGTCAGAACAAACAAGGAGACGATTAGGACCAATCACAGTCAGGGGGAGCTCTCAGAACAAACAAGGCAGTGATTAGGACCAATCACAGTCAGGGGGAGCTCTCAGAACAAATGATGAGGTGATTAGGACCAATCACAGTCAGGGGGAGGTCTCAGAACAAATGAGGAGGTGATTAGGACCAGGTACAGTCAGAGGGAGGTCTCAGAACAAATGAGGAGGTGAGAAGGACCAATCACAGTCAGGGGGAGGTCTCAGAACAAATGAGGAAGTGATTAGGACCAATCACAGTCAGGCGGAGGTGATTAGGACCAGTCACAGTCAGGCGGAGGTCTCAGAACAAATGGGGAGGTGATTAGGACCAATCACAGTCAGGGGGAGTTGATTAGGACCAATCACAGTGAGGGGGAGGTAATTAGAACCAATCACAGTGAGGGGGAGGTCTCAGAACAAAAAGTTTGCTTTGTGAAGTTGTTTTCATTTGAAATATACTCAGTATGTTTGGTTTAAGGCAGAACCTGAGGGTCAGCCAGGCGCTGGGGGTCAGGATAGACGTAGAAGAGGACGCCCTGCAGGGCACCCGGCAGAGTCAGCCCCCGAATCAGCAGCACCAGCAGCATGACGTAGGGGAAGGTAGCTGTGAAGTACACCACCTGGTGGCAATGGAGGAAATTGATTGAATTTATAATATTAATTCTGATAATAGAAAGTAAATGCATGTCAAATACAACTGTGTGAAAAACACTATTTACAAAAACAATTATGCATTCATACGTATATATGTATTTACAAGCATCGTTAATTGAGGCATTAACATAGATAGTACTATGCTAAATATACACAAAATTATCATCTATAAGGTACTTTTTATCACAAAAATAATTTTTACTTTTTCATTTTTTTTCTGATATGAACTAGGGCTGGGCAGTTAATCGAAAAGTAGTCGAAACTGACATTCAGAACCTCTAACTGACGTAATCTTGCCCATATCGGTTATTTTGATTTTTTTTTTTTAGAAATTCTGTTAATCCTTTCGCGACTCTGTGTTCATGTACTGTCCCCTTAAAATTTACTACCATGTGGGTCGTCATGTGACTCCACCACGTCCAGTCTGTGACATGGAAGCTAAGGCTACATTCACATAGCAGGTGAAAGTGGCCCAAATCTGATTTTCTCACTAAATTAAAACTTCATCTTCACCAGCATCACAGGAGCCATCATGAAGCTTCACTGACTGACAGCTGGGCTCATCACTCAGAATGTGTTCCAGCCGTAAAAAGGGCGCGGTCACTTCTTTGGTTCGCGTCCTCGGATTCTTTAAACTTCGCTTTCAGACTTTTAACTGTTCTTTGGCGCTGCAGCCTCGTTCTCCTGCGGCCGCGTTTGGACATGAATGAGATAAAACGCAGGACTGTAAACTGGGCTGTATTTGAAGACTCTGTGATAGACTAACACACACCTTGCCAGTGGACTTAACGCCCTTCCAGATGCAGAAGTAGCAGATGACCCACATTGCAATCAGACAGAGGAGGATCTCCCAGTTGACCTTACCCAGCTCTTCAATTCCACCAGAGATGGCCAGCACTCTGCGCCTGGACAGCGGGTAAAGGGAGAATGACCACATCTGGAATTAACATTTAATTTAACATGAATTAAAATGAATTATTTTGGTCCTGTCTGCCAAATACTAATATTGTACAGATATATATGATCAGAAATATAAATGTTGAGCCTGCAGTTATAAACTGTGGAGCCTCTAGATCTTTCGACCAGACAGCTAAAAGCTCAGGTAATGACTGAAATCTTTCTGATGTGTTATCACCACATGTTCACATAGATGGCTCCACTTACTCCCAGAACTCAGTGGCCGCTGATGTTGAATTAGTTTGTCCTGTCCAGTTGAGTGTGAGGTTTTTGGCAGCAAAGATGCAACGATCTGAGAAAGAGAAATAACTGCATCTGTTGCTAATAACTTGTTTGACCATTTCCTAACAGCGTTATAATTTCTGGATTAAATTGTTCTGTATTAAGAAAGGTGATGATAATTATTTAGAATTGATTGTAATTAACATATAAGCTAACAAAGTCAGCTAACCAGGAGCCTGAATTATGCTCATGGAAAAGTTAAGTGCATGGCTTTGTTTGTACCTGTGTTCCAGGTGTTGTCGCAGGTGGACCAGGGCAGCTGGGAGCTGAAGGAGAACACCAGGTACAACAGTGCCCAGGCCAGAAGAATGATGTAACACATGCAACTGTACACCAAAATCAGCTGACTTGCATAGCCAATACCTGACCAGGGAATACAGACAGAATCCATAGAGCTACACTATATGGACAAAAGTATTGGGACAGCCCTCCTAATTGTTGTAGAGTTCATTACCAACAAGTGGATAAATTAAGCACATAACCTTGCAGTCTTGATAGACAAACACTGGCAGTAGAATGCATCGTACTGAAGAACTCAGTGACTTTAAACGTGGTTCTGGAAGCAACATCAGCACAAGAACTGTTTGTCAGGAGCTTCACGAAATGGGTTTCCATGGCTGAGCAGCTGCACACAAGTCTAAGATCAAAATACACAATGCCAGGCGTCGGATGGAGTGGAGTAAAGTGCCGCCACTGGACTCGGTAACACTTTACAATACTGTTTTGTATTTAATAAGTAACTAATCAGGAACTAAGCGAACGAATGAGTGGTTCTGTATTAACACTTATGTAACTACCCTTAACTACAAAGGAAGACTAGTTAACTACTTAGTAGGTAATAGTAAACTAATGTTTAGAATAATTCACTATTAACTAAACAATAATTACTGAGTCTTATAGAGAATTACTTAGTAACTATGGTTTTTTAGAATAACTACTCATAAATTACCGATCAATTCAACATTAATTGCTCAATAGCTGAGTCTTATAAGGTTCCTGCTGAATTACTAACTGAACAGTGTGAACTGTATTCCAACACTTCTAACAGTAGTGAAATACACTACACAGTGTGCAGTCTCTAAAATATAATGGATTATACCCTCCATTTCTATTCACAGAAACAGGTATCCTCTGGGGGCATTAAACCACACTGTGCTGACTGGGTTCCCTCATTTGTTTGATTTGATCAGAAACCTTAAAAGGCTAATGTACATCTTCATATTTGGCAGTGTAAACCAATTTGCACATCAGCCTACAAATGGGACAACTGCTAAAATACTACAGTATTCAATAGACCAGTCTGCTCACCTCTCATCTTTAGAAAACACCATTCTTTTCTGCAGGAACATGTGTGCCAGTGTTTCTTCTGAATAATAGTTCTTCTGAACAATAGTCCTCTTGAGGGCAGGGTAAGTTGAAGAGAGGGCTCACAGAAATATCTGAATGTATATGTGTCCTGAATGTATATGTGTCCTGCCTTCACATTCACTTGGTTCTACATATTACCAAGTGATTATGTAATTTCTGTCTGTTAGATAATGATTGAGGTGTTGCTGTTCTTCATTAGGAGCTAATGATGATCTGGAACAATATAAAACTCATTATTAATGAACTAGGAGTTAATGATAATCAGGAACAGTATTATAAAGTCAAACACATGGTGACTCATAATTAATGAACTAAGAGTTAATGATGATCAGGAACAGTATTATAAAGTGAAACACATGGTGACTCATAATGAACTAGGAGTTAATGATGATCAGGAACAGTATTATAAAGTGAAACACATGGTAACTCACCATTAATGAACTAGGAGTTAATGATGATCAGGAACAGTATTATAAAGTGAAACACATGGTGACTCATAATTAATGAACTAGGAGTTAATGATGATCAGGAACAGTATTATAAATTGAACTACATTAGAAATAAAAACCCCTAAAAAAATGATGTACTGTAGTACAAAAGTATTAATAAAGAGATTTTGAAAAAGTGAGAGTAAATAAGTTGTTTATTGAGTCCTTTTTTATTTGTGAACAGCCAAACAAAATGAAATCAAAGTCTGTCATTACTACTGAAGGAGAAAGTCTGAGAGCTGAGACTGATCACAGTATCTTCTGCTAGTACATTAGTTACACATATTTGTTTCATAGCTGAGGCACAAAGTTTTACTGCCTTTTAGCTTAGCTCACATTAGTTAATTTAACTACCTAACTCGCATGCACTCATAACAGAACATCAGCAGCAGCTTTAGGTTTACTAAAGCTAACATGTGCTTATAATTCTGAAGCAACACAGTAAAACAGATATTGTACAAGAAGACCAAACCTACTGAGCTCAGATAGTTAGCAAGTCAGCTAACTGTGTCTCTGCATTAGTGCTGCTGTCTGAATAAAACCTTGAATCTGAATCAAAAGTCTCACATTAGCAGCCCAGGGGTCTTTCATGAGTCTGATTCACTCATCATTCATCAGGAGACACAGCGAGTCAGACTTAAAATATGAACAGAATTATCTAACTAATCCACTGAGAACGCAGCACTAACTGCTCTCCTTTACCAGCACTCGCAAAAACCTCATGGGCGCTCAGCAGAAACTATCAAACCAAAGCTATCAAAATAAGAGTCCTGTACAACTCTACTGTTAAATGTAAGTTTATTTAATTCACTTGAAGAATGTTCAATAGAAGAATGTTTCTTATTTAGATGTCAGACTCTTTTTATATTTATGCTACTACTTCTCCAAAAAAAAACAAAAAAACAATAGGAGTGGTTAGGCCAAGACAAGATTGAGACTGAGACAAGATTTTTCAGAGTTTAAAAATGAAAAGAAAAGAGAAAAAACACTGAAACCACTAAAAATGTTCCTTAATATTCATTAGACATTATATATAGATGAACATTATATTTATAACATATTTTGTACAACTAAATACTAAATAATACATACCCATAAACATTGTGAAATATTATTATAAAATTAGTCCTATTCTGCATTATACCTTTGATGCTAGATTATTCTCTGTCCCTTCTTCTCTAAAATCTATTCAGAATAACTACCTAAGGTCAACTAAATATAAACCAAACAATATACATCCATTTTTATTATTAAATTAAAACATTCTAATCTGCCCAGATAAGCCATCATGAAAAGACCAATTAGATTTTATTTGAAATAAAATAAAAAATAAAGAGTCATGAAATCAAATTGTTTGTGGGCCAAGTGTCAGGTGGTTTTCTCCAAAAAGCCCTGGTACAAAAAATGTAGGTAAAAAATGTTCTGTATTTTTCATCCAAGTACTTCAAATATGCACTCATTTAAGCGCTCAGTGCTTATTATCAAGTCTTCAATCACCACAATCCACTTCTACTACTATATATTATTATTATTATTATTATTATTATTATTATTACTGTAGTAGTAGTAGTAGTAGTAGTAGTATAAATACATAGAGGTTTTGACATATAAAATAATAAACATTTTTGAGTTCTATTGAATTAAGTAAACTTACATTCAACAGTAGACTTGCACAGGACTCTTATTATGATAGCTTTGGTGTTTCTGCTGAGCGCCCATGAGGTTTTTGCGAGTGCTGGTGAAGGAGACCAGTTAATGCTGCGTTCTCAGTGGATTAGTTAGATAATTTTGTTCATATCTTTGGTCTTCTTGTACAATGTCTATTTTACCATGTTGTTTAAGAATTATAAGTACATGTTAGCTTTATTAAACCTAAATCTGCTGCTGATGTTCTGAGTGCATGCTAGCTAGGTAGAGCTAAGCTCATAGGCAGTAAAACTTTGTGCCTCAGCTATGAAACAAATATATGTAACTAATTACTAGCAGAAGACACTGTGATCAGTCTCAGCTCTCAGACTTTCTCCTTCAGTAGTAATGACAGATTTTGATTTCATTTTGTCTGGGTGTATTACTTTCAGTGATATAGCTAGGTTAGCTAAACCAGGGATGTTTTCACATTTGGACTGTTCACAAATAAAAAATCAGGTAACACTTTACATTAAGGGTCACTAATCAATCATTAAATATATAATAATCAACTATTAGTTTCCCATTATTTAGTTATTAGTTAACTCTTCATTAAGCATTAGCTATTACTTAGTAATTGATTAAGCACTTATCAATTAGTAATTAAGTACACTGTTGATAAGTTAGTTTGTCGTTAGTTTGTGGCTTACTTACTCATTATCTGTGTGCTAATTGCTGCTTATTACATTGTTAATTAACTAATATGTATTTTTCTTCATATAAAGAAGTAACGTAATAACTTACTAGCACCTATGTGTTAATCCCGCTAATTATCTGTTAATTAACTTTCCATCATCTCCATATATTCAGTTGCTTCACTTTTCTCACTTTGGTTCTTGTTCATTAAAGATGCTTATGGTCACATCTGACCGTAAGATGAGCGCACACAAATTCACGGACGGTTTTGTTATTCATCACGTTCATCTTGGCATATCTGTACTCATATCTGGTAGGAGTGCATGTAAATTTGGGCATAAATGCTGGATATGTGGCTAATTAACCAAAACTATTATCAACATAATCTGTAATAGCAAAAAATAAGAATAGAAAATATCAATAATTGTGTGCATGACAGTCCAGTACAAAAGTGGATGTACTTACTTTACATGCATATTGATATAAACAAGTGCTGCAACTATTTCATGTTCCATTTAAAGACACATTACACTGTGCTTTTGTTTCATACTACTGACTCACAAACACAGCTTCGGTCATACACTGCAGTAATACAGCGTTTATTTTAGGGAATTAATTACACTAAACAATCACTCTACTATGTTAACAACACAGAGTATTTTGTTTTATTTCACATTTTATTTTTTTCCAGTTGCTGCTTACACTGCTCACATCAAGCAGTGTCTCTGTAGTTGTACCACATGCCAGTGATTTCTGTAATATTTCTGTTTTTAAAAGAAATTAAAGTTCTTCTGTGTAGTATGAATTTGGTAGACATTGCTTAGCTGTAGCCAGGTTAGCTAGCAACGCTAGAAGCCATTTATAACTGTAGCTGTATTCCCAAAATAAGGAAGCTAGTTAGCTTTCATTAGCTGCTGCCACCAGCCGGCTAACGTGGAGCAGGTTCTGTGACACATTTAGCTACAGGATGGCAGTGACTTCTGACATAAACACAAACAAAAACTTTTACATGTAAAGTCTGTTTAACAGACCTTATTTAAACTGTATTAGCTTACGGTAGGCTAGCAGGCTACAGTCGCTAATTAGCTAGCCTGCCAGTAGCAGTTTGAGCACCAGCTTCGTATGAGCAGCAGACTTTAAAGCTAAGTTAGCTCTAACGCTGGCTATGTTAGCGATCTGCCAAACAGCATTATTCTTATGGTTTCATGGCAATTTTTGAAGCAGCACTTCAGAAAACATCCACCTTTCACTGCTCAGTCAAAAACGAGACTCCGAGCTGAAAAAAACATCTGAAAAAGCTGCTTCATGTTAGCCGGGCTAGTTTGGTTAGCAGTAGCTTCTAGCCAGTATAGCCAGCTTAATATAAACAGAGTCTATAAATTCATGCTACATATAAAAGTTCTTCTTTCTTTTGAAAACAGAATATTACCGAAATCGCTGGCGTGTTGTACAAAGACACAGAGGCTGCTTGACGTGAAGCAGCTGCAGCAGAACTGCAGTAAAAACAACATACAGCATCTCAGCTCTGTTTACAGTTCAGTCAGAGCTTCTGTCCACTTGTTACTCTCACTGTCACAACCGTGCAGGAACACTAAAATACAGCTGTTGTAGCTCCGTGTTTGAGTGTTACAGTTCACTACTAAACACTCTGACAGTGCGTCTGCAGTAGCTTTATGGAGAGGAAGTGAGTTCTACCCTGCTAATGCTTAAACCGGAAGTAATCACGAATCTTGTGAAAAGGGCCCATTAATCATCAAAGTTACGTAAAAAAGAACACCTTTTTTTGCCTTTTATAAGGTATGAACTGCTCTGCGTCTGATTCATAACAATTTTGTACGATGTGGAAACAAGTGGAGATTTGAGCATAAATGATAAATCAGCTTCAGTGCATGAAAGCAGCCTACCAGCATCTCATTTACATATCATTTACATGAAGCACACCCTAATTCATGCAGATGTTTCAGTAGCCAGCCAATAAAACGGCAGTGTTTGGCATGAAAGCTAATGGCCGTGCTCGTGGGTGGAGTTTGATGTCCAGCAGTGAGTGCACTCCTCCCCTGCTGACCAAACTTAATAGTATTAAAATGAAAACAACTGGAAAAAATAAAATGTGAAATAAAACAAAATACTCAGTGTTGTTAACATAGTAGAGTGATTGTTTAGTGTAGTTAATTCCCTAAAATAAACGCTGTATTACTGCAGTGTATGACCGAAGCTGTGTTTGTGAGTCAGTAGTATGAAACAAAAGCACAGTGTAATGTGTCTTTAAATGGAACATGAAATAGTTGCAGCACTTGCTTATATCAATATGCATGTAAAGTAAGTACATCCACTTTTGTACTGGACTGTCATGCACACAAATTAGTATTATTGAAATTTTCTATTGTTGTTCTTATTTTTGCTATTACAGATTATGTTGATAATAGTTTTGGTTAATTAGCCACATATCCAGCATTTATGCCCAAATTTACATGCACTCCTACCAGATATGAGTACAGATATGCCAAGATGAACATGATGAATAACAAAACCGTCCGTGAATTTGTGTGCGCTCATCTTACGGTCAGATGTGACCATAAGCATCTTTAATGAACAAGAACCAAAGTGAGAAAAGTGAAGCAACTGAATATATGGAGGTGATGGAAAGTTAATTAACAGATAATTAGCGGGATTAACACATAGGTGCTAGTAAGTTATCACGTTACTTCTTTATATGAAGAAAAATACTTATTAGTTAATTAACAATGTAATAAGCAGCAATTAGCACACAGATAATGAGTAAGTAAGCCACAAACTAACGACAAACTAACTTATCAACAGTGTACTTAATTACTAATTGATAAGTGCTTAATCAATTACTAAGGAATAGCTAATGCTTAATGAAGAGTTAACTAATAACTAAATAATGGGAAACTAATAGTTGATTATTATATATTTAATGATTGATTAGTGACCCTTAATGTAAAGTGTTACCAAAAATCATTCAATAAACAACTTATTTACTATATTTATTTATTTTTTCAAAATCTCTTTATTAATACTTTTTTACTACAGTACATCATTTCTTTAGGGGGTTTTATTTCTAATGTATAATACTGTTCCAGATCATCATTAACTCTTAGTTCATTAATGGTGAGTTACCATGTGCTTCACTTTATAATACTGTTCCAGATCATCATTAACTCATAGTTCATTAATGGTGAGTTACCATGTGCTTCACTTTATAATACTGTTCCTGATCATCATTAACTCTTGGTTCATTAATGGTGAGTTACCATGTGCTTCACTTTATACTGTTCCTGGTCATCATCAACTCCTAGTTCATTAATAATTAGTTACCATTGTTTCATTTTCTGTTGTTCCTGATTATCATTAGCTCCTAATGAAAAACAGCAACACCTCATTCATTATCTGACTGACAGTAATTACATACCCTCAAGAGGACATTAAAGGAGAATTACTGTTCAGAAGAAACACTGGCACATGTGTGCTCCTGCAGAAAAGAATGGTGTTTTCTAAAGATGAGAGGTGAGCAGACTGGTCTAGTGAATACTGCAGTATTTTAGCAGTTGTCCCATTTGTAGGCTGATGTGCAAATTGGTTTACACTGCCAAATATGAAGATGTACATTAGCCTTTTAAGGTTTCTGATCAAAACAAACAAATGAGGGACACCAGTCAGCACAGTGTGGTGTGATGCCCCAGCCTTCTCTTAGGATACCTGTTTCTGTGAATAGAAATGGAGGGTATAATCCATTATATTTTAGAGACTGCACACTGTGTAGTGTATTTCACTACTGTTAGAAGTGTTGGAATACACTACATCAGTTAATAGTTTGGTAGGAACCTTGTCAGACTCAGCTATTGAGTAAATAATATTGAATTAATCAGTAATTTATGAGTAGTTATTTTAATAAACCATAGTTACTAAGTATTTCTCTATGAGACTCAGTAGTTATTGTTTAGTTAATAGTGAATTACCCTAATCATTAGTTTACTATTACCTACTGGGTAGTTAACTAGTTGTCCTTGGTAGTTAAGTGTAGTTACTTAATCGTTAATTCAGAACTACTCATTCATTCCTGCTTAGTATTGTAAAGTGATAGCAAATTTGGAGCAGTGGAAAAGTATTCTGTGTAGTGACCAATCAGCTTCTCTATCTGTCAGTCTGATGGATGAGTCTGGGTTTGGAGAATGCCAGGAGAACGTTACCTGCCTGACTGCACTGTGCCAGCTGTAAAGTTTGGTGGAGGAGGGATGATGATGATATGGGGCTGTTTTTCAGGGGTTGATCTAGAACCCTTAGTTCCAGTGAAGGGAAATCTTAATGCTTCAGCACCAAGACATTTTGGACAGTTGTACACTTCCAACTTTGTGGAACAGTTTGGGGAAGAACCTTTTCTGTTCCAGCATGACTGAGCCCCAGTGCACAAAGCAGCTCCATAAAGGCCTGACTGGGTGAGTTTGGTGTGGAAGAACTTGACTGGCCCTCACAGAGCCCTGACCTCAACCCCATCCAACACCTTTGGGATGAACTAGAACGGAGATTGTGAGCCAGACCCTCTTGTCCAACATCAGTGTCTGACCTCACAAACGCTCTTGTGGATGGACGGGCACCAATTCCCACAGACTCTCCAACACCTTGTAGAAGCTTCCCAGAAGAGTGGAAGCTGTTAGAGCTGCATAATGTGTAAGTGTCCCAATACATTTGTCCATGTAGTGTACTTATGAGATCATAGAGCTGTTTGATATAGCATATGTTGATTATAGAGCTGTGTGATAAAGAATAAAGTGATCATACAACTGTATGATAGAACATATAGTGACCATAGAAGTACTTGACAGAGTTTGTGGTGATAATACAACTGTACGTGTAGAGTAGGTCATCATAGAGCTGTTTGATTGAGTATAAGATGATCATGAAGCTGTATGAAAGCATATGATGATCATAGAGCTACAGTATATGATGGAGCATATGGTGATCATAGAGCTGTATGATTCAACATAAGATGGTCATAGGGCTGTATGTTAGAGCATAGAGCATATGGTGATCATAGAGTTATTTAGTAGATTATATAGTGATCGTAGAGCTATTTGGTAGATGGTAATCATAGAGCTAAACGATAGAGCATGTGGTGGCCAAAGAGCTATGTGATGGAGCATATAATGATCATAGAGTTATATGATAGAACATATGGTGATAATAGAATTGTATGATAGAGCATATGGTGATCGTACAGCTATTTCATAGAGCATATGGTCATGATAGTGCTAAATGAGCATATATAGTAACCAAAGAGCAATATGATGGAGCATATAGTGATCACTGAGCTCTATGATGGAGCATATGGTAATAGAGCTATATTAGATTAGATTAAGTGACCCTTATAAGTCCCACAACAGGGAAATTTCACCTCTGCATTTTAACCCATCGGTGCAGTGAAACACCACATACACACTAGTGAAGACACACACTAGGGGGCAGTCAGCACACTTGCCAGGAGCAGTGGGCAGCCCTATCCACGGCGCCCGGGGAGCAGTTGGGGGTTAGGTGCCTTGCTCAAGGGCACTTCAGTCACGGGTTCGAACTGATGGCCTTCTGGTCACAAGGCAGGTTCCCTAACCTTCAGCTCACAACTGCTCCATCTTCATCTCTTAATCTAGTAGAGCATATGGCAATAGAGCTGTATGACAGGACATAAGATGATAATACTGTAGATCTGTATGATAGAGCATAGAGCATATGGTGATTATAGCACTGTTTAATAGTGGTAGCCAAAGAGCTTGATATAGCATATAGTGACAATAGAGCTCTAAGATACTGCATATGGTGGTGCTAGAGCTGTATGATAGAGCATATGGTGATAACAGAATTACAGTACATGATAGAGCATATGGTGAAAATAGGGTTATATGACAGAGCATATGGTGACTATAGAGCTAGAGAGTGACCATTTGTCCACAGAGCTAGCAGCAGGTGAGCCAGTCAGACACTCTCTCTTAGTAATAATCTGTTTTGTGCAGATTCATTTGCTGCTTATTCATTAAACCGAAAAGTTTCCATGTTAAACTACAAATGTTCCAAAGTTCTTCAGCTCTTTGGTTTTACTTGCTAAACTGGTCTGGTTTTAAAAAAACCTTCAGTGAGATGTGTTACACTTTGTTTCACACAGCTGTTCAGTGCTAAATTAACCAGACATTTTGTGCAATCAACAATTAGACCTAAATATGGTAGTTTGACATAAATTCACATTGCAGCAGTCGGAAGAAAACCTTTTATCTCAATTTTTTTTGTTTTTCTCAGTTTTTGACTTAATTTGAAAATACCTGTTGCTCTTTACATTGCCTGTAAATTTCATGATGAATGGACCAAAAGAAACGGCCCAAAATGACTTGGAAAAAGTTCTGGTTCCATTGACTTACATTAAGCGTAAAGTATGTTTTTTCCTTCTCCTGTAAAGTTACCATTTTGGAAACAAGATTTCCTTCTGATAACAGCGATTTGTTGCTATATATTTGACTTCTTTAATTTCACTTTTTTCATTAACAAACTTTTGCAAAAACATCACCAAGTGAGTCAGCTGTTTCAACTGCATCTTAAAATGAGATTAGAAGTTAGATTTACTTGAAGTTGATCAAGTTCTAGTTGATTCAGTTAGAATTTCTAGGTCAAAGTCAAGCCAAAATTCAATAACTGCACCCAGCTGTCTGTCGGTGAGAATGCTGAATGTGCTGTAATGGCGCTCACCCTCAGCCAGAGGGCAGAGACACTGCCAGCATGTGATGCTCCCCTGCTGGGTGTACTGCCCCATAGACGTCTCCAGGAGGAACAGGGGCACCCCACAGGTCACCGCAAACACCAAATACGGCACTAGGAACGTCCCTGAGAACACACCAAGAACATCATGTATGTTTCAAACACTATACTGACCTTCTGTAAAAAATGACTGACCTTGTAAAAAAACTTTTATAGAATCTAGAAAGTGTGTCTATGAGTGTTTAACTCACCGCCAGGGTCACCAACCTCATATCATGTTTCAAAAGCTATTTTTTGGAACATTTTTTGGATTCAGTACAGCTTGTTCCAGTCAAAAGAACACAGAATGTGGTGTTCCCCAAGGATCCGGGACCCTTGTTGTTTTTAATATATGTCAGCAAAGAGTGTTGTTTATGTTTTTTGCTTACAACACCATTATCTTCTGATAAAGCTGGCCATCTATAAACTGAATTATCCAATATTAAGTGCTAGCCAGCTAAATTAACCTTTAACATTTAAAAAAATGTCCATAAATGCTTTTCAGCCCTAAAAATAAAAAGGCATTGATGCAGTTTGACCACAACCCCAGCCAGAGAGTGTAACCTCATTCTTCAGTAAAAACATTGTTACTGCAGTGAACTTATAGAGCTGCAGTGGAACTTCTTAGAACATCCAACATCTACTGTCATAGGAGCTACAAGACTCAAGAAATCTGAATGTTCAGCTTTTTGTAGTTGATGGTTTTGGATAGTAAATTAAAAGGCTACATTGAGACCCCTGGTTCCCATCATCACCGCTGTAAGGACATCTGAGTCGGTAAGGATTTGATTTCGACAAATAGAAAGCGACCCCCCCCCCACCACCACCACCCAATTAAATATATATGTAGTAATTATTCAGTGCAGGGATGTTCACATCTGGTCCTGGAGGGTCACTGTCCCCTTCAGGACTTTTTTTGGGGGGTTTAATTTCATTCTACTGTGCTGGTTCAATTTGTTTGGCTCTGTTCTTCTCTTTTTTGGATCTTTTGGTCTAAAATAACACACTAAAGTGAGAAGAGTGACCAACAGGAAAGCAGAACCAGCACAGCAGAGTCAAATTAGAATTAAACCCAATAAACAAAATTAACTGAATGTTAATGACTGTAATAGTGCTGAGGGGACAGTAGATCACTGCACTCACTGGAGTAGAGCTGAAAATGTTATAAATACTCAAATCCATCAAAATTGTGCTTAAGATAAAGGAACCTGTGTGTTCTTACCTCCTCCGTTCTTGTAGCAGAGGTAGGGGAACCTCCACACGTTTCCCAGACCCACCACGTTCCCCGCCACTGCCAGAAGAAACTCCGTTTTACTGGCCCAGTGCCCTCGCTCCTCCACCTGTCCATCTGCTCCCTTCATCTCCTCTCGGTTCTCCTACTGCTTCACCGGATCCTCCTTTGGAACAAAGTGAGATAACAGATCAGTGGGAGAGTTCTGGACACTGGACCAGAGCAGTGATGGAGATCAGCTGTAGTGAAACAGTAAAAGTAGGTACTCATTGACCCGCAGTGACCTGGTTTATATTCAGACCAGAACAAGGTTCACAGTTTGGAAAAAATCAACTGAACATGCAAATGTCCTGAATCACAGTGCATCTAATAAACTATAAAAAATAATATCCGGAATTAAGTCCTAATAAAATTAAAAAATGTATATCTAGAATGTAGTTCTAATAAAATTAATATCCAGAATGAAGTTATATAAAGGTTCTATGTTCATTAAAGGTTCTTCCTAGAACAGTTCATACAAGGCAAGAACCAGTATGTGGCTGGGGTGTAGCCTGGGCAGGTGTGCTGGTGCTGTGGGGAGCCTGGGAATTTCCAGGACCAGTGTCACCACACGGAGGTTGAGACACTGGTCCTCATTCCCACAATACCACCCACCTCCCCTGATTGAACTGGAACGTACCACATACCTGTGAGAATTCAAGGGGGTTTATATCACACCTTGGTGGATTCTTAGGTCATGGATATGCGTCCCCAAATTAATAAGACGATACCCAAGACCAAAAAGGAGGTGAGACGGTTCCCAGGGCTGACTGGCTATTATCATGGGTTTATACCTAATTATTTGGATGTCACCAGCCTGCTGACTTATCTCACTAAAAAGAGAGCACCAGATCTGGTCCAGTGGATGGAGCAGTGCCAATAGGCTTCTAACCGCATTAAAACAGCTCTCTGTGTGAAGGTGTTCACAAGCTGGGGGCTCAGATGGTGGTGGCTGACTTCCTCTCCTGCTCAAAGTGTTGGGGGGTTAGCGTTTGTGTTGTTGTCCGGATAAAAACTGAACTCTGTGTCTTCATACTCCTGCTCCTGGTGTCCTTACTCTCCCAGCCTCCCAAAGATCATTACAGTTAGTTACTCAAAACATTACATTATAAATGACCACTTCTCTCAAACTGTAAGGAAATCACTTTACTTATTACTTACAGGGAAAAAGCAATCTCACAATTCTCATCACTTTACATCTGTTACTTTCTAAACCCCAAACACATCCGTACCAATTTTAAACAGCCAGCCTCACATCATTCAAAATTCATCTCACATCTCTTGGTTAAATCTAGAGCGAGAAAATGCAAGCAGAACACAGTTAGATGGGGATAAAAGGCTACTTAAGTGACCATTTAAACAGGGAGTGCAGTATTAACTACAATTTCTTAAAAGTTCACCCCATTTACTTCTGCGTTGCTTAGTTTAATTAACTCTGCATTTTAAAGAACCCCACATTTTGTCTAGGGCGCTCTGGGATCGGTAACATGTGGCATTAAACACTGAACTGGTGATGACTGGTTAAAAGCTTGAGGAACAGACCAAGAGAGCATTTAAAGCTATTTTATTCAAATAAAACCGATAAGCTATGACATCTAGTACCGCCCTGGAAGAATCAAACTGTGGACGGCACCAAAGACAAACAAAAAGTACTTAGCTAACCTGCAAAGGGAAACAAAAACTAAACTACTCTACACTTCCCTGGCCAATAAACAAAAGTACATGTGGTGGTGTCCTCTGACCTGGGGAACTTGACAGAGTAGACTGTTACATTGTAAGAATGTAAAGGCTCCACTCCTGTTCATGATATTCATGGACAGGGTGTCAAGGCATAGCCGAAGTCAGGAGGGCGTTGTGTGTGGAGGCTGGAGGGTGGCGTCTGTTGTTTTGTTGTTGTTCTTTTGGCTGGATCGCAAGGATGCCTCCAGCACTCACTGGAGCGGATTGCAGCTGAGTGTGAAGTGGTTGATATGCGGATCGGCACCTCCAAGTCCATGGTCCTAGCCCGGAAAAGGATGGCATGCCCACTCCAGGTAAGGGGAAAGGACTTGCCCCAGGTGGAGTTTAAGTATAACTATCTTGTTCACGAGTGATGGGAAGAGGGATTGTGAGATTGGCTGCAGGATGGGACAGGTGGCAGCAGTAATGTGGTCACTGTACTGGACTGTAGGGATGAAGAGGGAGCTCAGCCATAAGGTGAAGCTCTCTGTTTACCGGTCGGTCTACATCCCCACCCTCACCTGTGGTCATGAGCTGTGGGTAATGACCAAAAGAATGAGATCGTGAATACATGCGGCGGAAATGAGCTTTCTTCGCAGGGTGGTAGGCTACACTCTACTTGATAGGGTGAGGAGCTCGGTCATCCGGGAGGAGCTCAGAGTAGAGCCACTACTCCTCTGCACTGAGAGGAGCCAGTTGAGGTGGTTCGGGCATCTGATCCGGATGCCCCCAGACACCTCCCGGTGGGGGTGTACCAGGCACGGCCTACTTGGACAAGACCCCGGGGTCGTCCTAGGACCTGCTGGAGGGATTATATCTCCAAGTTGGCCTGGGAGCGGCTCGGGGTCCCCGGGAATGAGCTGGAGGAAGTTGCGGGGGACAGGGTCGTCTGGGATTCTCTGCTCTCCCAACTGCTACCGCGACCCTATCTGGACTAAGCGGTTGATGATGATGATGATGATGATCAGTCGTTCATTTTAACTGCAGGGTCGTTTTCAGGGTCGGGGGAAAACAGCTCAGACCTGGAAGTCCTTATTTGGGTGTCTCTGAATATAAAGCGCTGTGGAAAGAATAAACGCTCCTGATTGGCTGTTCAGTGTCACATGATTTTATTTCATACGGGCTACAGAAACACAAGCTGTTAGTTGTTTATTGTTGTGCTTGTTTGTGTTGCTCTGTGTTGTTTATCATTAGCCCCTCTGTCTCTGCTGCTGATGTCATTTCCTGTATCTCGGCCCTTTGCTTCCGGGTTAGGGGCAGGTCCGCGGCGGGCGTACACAGCTGGAGCCAGCGCTGTTAACAGACACAACAATTTATTTCATTTCATTTCCGTGACTGTCCTGACATCCTGCGTCAAATAGTGCATATATACCATTTTAACTCCTGTGTTTTATTTTATAAAGTCGTAATATTTGGAGGATAAAGTGGGCTAACTGTAGGGGGGCTAACTGTAGGGGGGCTAAGTGTAGGGGGGCTAAGTGTAGGGTACTGCCATAACGCGTTGGGGTCTCGGTTGCTGTACTGTGGGGGGGGGGCTGCCATAATGCGTAGGGGTCTCGGTTGCTGTCCTGTAGGGGGCTGCCATAACGCGTGGGGGTCTCGGTTGCTGTACTGTGGGGGGGCTGCCATAACGCGTCGGGGTCTCGGTTGCTGTACTGTGGGAGGGCTGCCATAACGCATCGGGGTCTCGGTTGCTGTCCTGTAGGGGGGCTGCCATAACGCGTTGGGGTCTCGGTTGCTGTACTGTGGGGGGGCTGCCATAACGCATCGGGGTCTCGGTTGCTGTACTGTGGGGGGGCTGCCATAACGCGTCGGGGTCTCGGTTGCTGTACTGTGGGGGGGCTGCCATAACGCATCGGGGTCTCGGTTGCTGTCCTGTAGGGGGCTGCCATAACGCGTTGGGGTCTCGGTTGCTATACTGTAGGGGGCTGCCATAACGCGTTGGGGTCTGGGTTGCTGTCCTGGCGCCGGAGCTCCACTCACTCCTGTCTCTCTGTGGATCATTTTGATCATCATTCTCACTGTCTGTGAAACTTCATGCCCTCTTTGAATGGGGGGAGATGTAGCCCCCGATAGCTGTGTAGACGACCCTGCCAGGAGAGACAGGGAGACTGAGTGTTTCTTTATGGGTGAATCGAGATCAAAGTAGACCTTTGCCTGTTTGTTTACTTCGTTTTTGCCTTGCCCCTTTTTTGGACTTGGTTTGTCTTTTGGATTTGACCCACGCCTGCCTTTTGACCCCGCATCTGCCTAGCCTTATTAAAACACCTTTAGTCCTCTTAATCCATGAGCGTCTGGGTTTTGACGAATCCTTACAAACAGATGCACTGATGGTTACATTTTGGCCAAAGTGCCTCTTTAATATAAGACTATGTTTAAGACTTAATCTACAAACACTCTTAAAGTGTATTAAAGGTCTGATCATTTTTAGTCTGATCAGTTCAGCCCTTCTCTCTGTAACGCCCTGTGTTAAACAGAGTGTACCTGTGTTGATACTCACCTGTTTCAGGTTCCGTCTCCCTGCCCACAGCAGACCCAGCGCCCGGCCGGGCACCAGCAGGATGGAGGAGAGCGCCATCGCCCAGCCGAGCCCGTACGCCCAGTTGGGGTAAACATACCAGCGGTTAAAGGTCAGGGGCTTGTACTCCACCAGAGAACAGATAAACGACACCTAAAAAATTTGTGATGTGAAAATCATAATTGATAAATTCATTACAATCTGCTTGGTCAGGTGTTTAAACAAGCTGTAATAATAATGCATTGCTGTATGCCACAACTGCCATGTGGGGCAGTCGTGGGCTGGAGGTTAGGGAACCGGCCTCGTGACCGGAAGGTTGCTGGTTTGATCCCCTCAGCTGACAGTACGTGACTGAAGTGCCCTTGAGCAAGGCACCTAACCCCCAACTGCTCCCTGGGCGCCGTGGATAGGGCTGCCTACCACTCCGGGCAAGTGTGCTCACTGCCCCCTAGTGTCTGTGTGTTCATTAGTGTGTATGTGGTGTTTCACTGCACAGATGGGTTAAATGCGGAGGTCTAATTCTGATGTGCTCAGACACAGTTGGCTAAAAAGGTACATTAAAATCTTTTGTTTTGAATATGCTGCCATCTACTGCTCCTCTGCAGATTTCTTCAGCGCTCTGCTGCAGTGTGTTTGTGCTGCTCCTGTATTTTATCCAGTCTTTTGCTGCACATATTTCACTGTACTGTAAAATTATTGGCTCTACTGATTTGCAGTCACATGTTCACTGTTTGAAAGAGTAGATACAGAGTGATTACTTCAGAAAATTAAAAGCTATTAACCTTTTTAACTGCTTGGAACCACCGGTGGTTCCAAAAAACACTTCGTCATATTCTTCATAACTTTCATATTTCATAAGCTACATTCTAAAGGTGGGGGTCGTATGAGAGCTGTGACTGTCTTCTTTCCAGTCAAATAAATGGGTGATGTAATTTTAAACCCTTATAATAAAAGAAGCTGAACTCACAGTTTATTTTTTTCTACTGAAAGTCGACCCATTTTTCACAAATCTGGGCTATAAACTATAAACAGATGGCGTCTCTTCAGTGATCTGCTCTGTAAACATTAATTTCTAAAATAATACTAAGATTTTTGGCTTTCAGCAGTAAATTGTAAGCATATAGCAATATGTGTAGATCATAAAACACATGTTCTGTTAATTTGAAGGGAACCTTTATAAAAAAAAAAACCAAATAAATAAAATAAAAATTTACATTAATTTCATGCAGTTACTGAATAATTTGCCTTACGATTTTGTCATGTAAATTCAGATGGAAAAACCCAAATATACCCTGGTGAATTAAACAAACAAACAGATAGAGGCTCACCATGGAAACGAGGGGGGTGAGATATTTCCAGCACAGTTTAAAGATGAAACTGGGGGATGACCCAGTCATGTCTTCAATGATGTCACACATTTGGTCTGCTCCTGTGAGGAAAAAGGTACATGGGTATTAAATCTGTTGACTGTGTTGTGGCCTGTTTAGAGAACTGTGTAATAGGCTGTGCAGTGGCTATTTTAGTGAAATGTAGTGGCCTGTCTATTGCACTTTATAGTGGCCTGTGTGGTGGCCTGTTTACTGCACTGTACAGTGGACTGTCCAGTGGCCTGCTTAGTGCACTGGGTAGTGGACTGTGCAGTGGTTGTTTAGTGCACTGTATAGTGGACTGTGGCATGGCAGGTTAAGCACAGCATGTAGTGAGCTCTGCAGTGGCCTGTTAAGAGAACTGTGTAGTAGACTGTGGAGCAACCTGTTAAGTGCACTGTGTAGTGGACTATGCCTTGGCCTGTTCAGTGCACTGTGTAGTGGACTGTTCAGTGGCCTGTTCATTTAGTGCTTTATATTGGACTGCACAGGCCTGTTACTTGCACTGTATAGTGGAGTCTGCAGTGGCCTTTTCAGTGCACTATGTAGTGGACTGTGCTATGGCCTCTTAAGTGCACTGTATAGTGGACTGTCCTGTGGCCTGTTTAGAGCATTGGGTAGTGGACTGTGCAGTGGCCTGTTTAAATAATTGTGAAGTGGACTGTGCAGTGGCCAGTTTTGTGCTCTGTATAGTGGACTGTGGTGTGGCAGGTTAAGTACAGCATGTAGTGAAATGTGCAGTCCACTGTGCAGTGGCCTGTTTAGTGCACTTTGTAGTGAGCTCTGCAGTGGCCTGTTTAAAGAACTGTGTAGTGGACTGTGTAGCAGCCTTTAAAGTGCACTGGGCATTGGCTTGTTTAGAGAAGTGTGTAGTGAACTCTGCAGTGGCCTTTTTTGAGTTCACTCTGTTGTGGACTATGCCTTGGCCTGTTCAGTGCACTGTGTAGTTGCCTGTTCAGTGGCCTGTTCATTGCATTGGGTAGTGCGCTGTGCAGTGGCCTGTTTAGTGCTCTGTGTAGTGGACTACGCAGTGGCCTGTTTCTAACCACCGTTAGCTTGGCGCTAACTTAACACTGCATATCCAATAGAATGCTAGCAGAAATTAGCATTACTGTACTGTAGTGTAGTGATGTTACAGGGTGAAGGGTTCTAGTGCTTCACTAGAACCAGTGAGGGAACAAATTACAATGACAGTGCTCTACTATCTCGCCTCTCCCTCTCCAGGCCTTCACTCCACAGTGACTTCACGCTCAGTGTGATGTCAGAGGGGGTTCAGGGGAGGGGCTGATGGGAACTCGGTTTGCTGTGATGTAATGTAGTGTTTAAAGTGAGAGCGCTGGGTAAGAAAAGCGCAGTGTAGCAGTGATTCTAGGCTGGACAGCCTGTTTGGAGCATCTGAATATTCAGGACTGAAGCCCTGAAGATGCAGCTCTAACAGCTCCAGCGCTGAGAAATAAAATACTGGAAATCTCAGGGTGTAAATAAACTTTGTATTTGTCTTTATGCTCTCCAAGCTGGGACTGACTTCTTTGGCACGGACAGTATAACATGTTATTAACGCTACTTATAATGCATTATAGTAACAATTCATAACGTATAATAAACATGACAATAAAGTGTAATTCATTTTTATAAATTTTTATAATCATGTTTATAATGCCATATGAATGCATTGTAACATGTTATAAATGTGTTTATGCTTACAAACTTGACATTCATAGAAAGTGTTAACGTGTAAATTAGTGTTTAATTTATCTTAGTAAGCAGTTGTAACCAACAGCGACTGTTGTGGCCATAAACAATGTCACTCTTGAATCCTGAAGTCTGCAGAAAAGTAAAGATAGCTGGACAAGCTAAGATAGCTGTTATCATGCTACCATACGTCTACAGGTGCTGGATATACTCAGCAGGTAGCTAGCCCGTTCATTTAGTGTAGGTTTTGACTAACATTAGTTAGCTTAGTTAGTTAACATTAGGTTCCTTAAAAAATCATATTGAAAATTTGTATTTTCAGCAATTCTGTTTCTTCTTTTTCTGCCAGATTTTTGTCCACCAACTCATCTCACAGTTTTGGTGATATCAACACTGAACCGACTCTAGAATGTTTGATCTGCTCAGGAATGATGGATCGTTTACAGCTTTTTGATTGGATGCATTTTGTCCTAAATGAATGAACAGCAGAACCATGCAGCCAAAAGTCTATGCACCCCCCTTATGTCACCATAATACACCTGCACTAACCACGTCATAGCATCCTTGTGGGATATGATGCCAAGTGCCTAGCAACCACCTGGGATACCCCAGCAATACCCTTACAAACACGTGTGTGTGTGTCTCACCGTAGATCCAGCCCACAGCCAGAGACTGAAACACAGCCAGAAACAGAATGCTGCTCCCATTACAGGCGTAATAATCAAACAGCTGAAACACAAACATCCCCCCCTGGTGGACACAAAGCAGAAACAGAAGATGAGACTCATATAAAGTTTCACACAGGTTCCATTTTGGCCTCTAATTTATTCTCTGAAAATGATATCAGTCACATTCATGTAGGCAGTAACTTGTGTTTTTATTTACGTTATTTTTTGAGCTGCTACTTTTGTACTTTTGTGCACAAGATGTTTTTTGGAAAAGTTCTTTTAAATGCAGTCAACCTTAAATTTATTCTGAAATATTCTCATTTTGGTGAAACTCTTACGCTGCAGTTTGAGATCTGCTAACAGAACCTCTCTGCCTCTCTCTCTCTCTTCCCTTTCTCTTTATTCACTCTGTCCCTCTTTCTTTCTGGTCTTCTCTTATCTGTACCTCAGTGACCATGACCATTTGGCTGAAGAAGCAGAAGAGGCAGAAGAGGAGGAGGAGGAGTTCTCTCCGTCCGGCTCTGCGGAGCGTCGCTGGAAACAGGTCAGTCACCGACGTGATGATCACCTCCATGGCAACAAACTAAGGGTTAGAGACAAACATGGAGCAGCTCAGAACCTAGAACGCAGAACCAGAGGGGGGTGTGTGTGTGTGTGTGTGTGTGTGTGTACCTGTGTATCGAGGCCCAGCAGGATGATCATGATGAAGAAACACACAGACCACAGCTGAGGTAACGGCATCATCGCCACCGCCTGAGGATACGCTATAAACGCCAGACCAGGTCCTGATCCACACACACACACACACACACACACACACACAATTATACTTTATTAGACTTTGGTAGATTTTGTCAGAATTTGTTGGAATTTCTTAGATTTTATTTTAATTTGTCAGAAATGTGCTTGAATTTGTCGAAAGCTGTCAGAATTTGTTAAAATTAGTTTTTTTATTTTACAGAATTTGTTAAAATATGTAAGAATTTCTTAGAATTTGTTGAAATGTGTTGAAATTTGATAGATTATCAGGATCTGTTACATTTGGAATTTGTTTATTCTTTGGAATTTGAAAAATTCTGATCAAATTTCTTGTTTTAGAATTCGTTGGATTTTAGAAATTTTCAGAATTTGTTACAGCTTGTTGAAATGTGTTGGAATTTATTTGAACTTGTTTGTCACGCATTCTCCGGTACTGACTCCTTGCAGAACTCGAATTCCCAGAACTCCCTTGGTGATCACATGACTGTCACATCACCATCCACAGCCAATCATCGATCCCTTTCACCTGAACACTAATCTGGTGCACCTGTCTTGTTTGTCATATGACCTGTGATAGATAGTATTTAAAGCCCAGGCTTTAGTTCGGTCATTGTGACATATTGCTTCTTTCTCTAAAGCTACTGAGCCGTCCATCCTGTGTTAGATTGATTTCCTGTGTTTCTGACCGGGTTTTTGGACTTTTCGACTTTACCTTTTGTCTTCCCAGTTTTGGACCGTGTTTGCATGTTCCTGTGTCTGTTCTTTTTTATATCTGTCTGACTTTGGATTTGACCCACGCATGTTTAATGACCACCAGTATTGATTATGTTCTAACTAGTAAAGCCTCATTTTCTATTTTTTCCCCCGAGCGTCTGGCTGGTTCTGTCACATTACACTGTTAAAGAGTTGGAATTCCTTAGTATTGAAATGTGTTTAAATTTGGTAGAATTTGTTATTTTTCTGAATTTTTAAGAATTTGTTAAGTCTTGGAATTACTTAGAATTTGTTGATATGTGTTGAAATTTAGTAGATTTGCAGGATTTATTACCTTTGGAATTATTTGTTTATTTTTTTGATCATCAAATATTTGGTGATCAAAATGTGATCAAATTTCTTTGAATTTGTTGGGATTAGAATTGGTGGGAATTATTGGAATTTTTTAGAATTTGTTGGATTTTTTAAGATTTGGTAGAATTGGTTTGCTTTTCAGAATTTTTAAGAATTTGTTGAAAAGTGTTGGAATTCCTTGGGATGTTTAAGAGTTTTGTAGAATTTTATTGAAATTTGTTTGACTCTTTAGAGAAAATCATGCATCATTCAGAAACAGCCTCTAAAGTTTTAAAGACGTTCAGAGGTACCTGACTCTGCTACGTCCTCCACTGTAGCTCCTTGCTGCTCAGCCATGAAACCAAGAACTGAGAACACAGCGAATCCAGCCACGACACTCGTACAGCTGTTCAACACACACAGCCAGATCGAGTCCCTGACACACACACACACACACACACGCACACACACATACACACACACACACACACACACATACACACACACACACACACACACACACACACACAGGACCTGCAGATAAATAAATATCCACTGTGTGGCGATGTTTCAGCAGGTGATGGTGTTAATTAGCTCACCTGTAGCAGTTGTTGTTGTATTTGTTGTAGCTCCCCAGCACAGTAAGTGATCCCTCAGCTACACTGTATGAGAAGAACACCTGAGTACCTGCCTCCATCCACACCTGCACAGGTAGCACAGACAGATCGGATAAAGGAATAATTGAAGAGATATCATTTTTCAGGAACAATATTTTAACATGAGTATGACTTCTGACTGCCCACCTCTGAAAGTCTGAGAGAAGCACAGGTTCCTGAGCTTGAAGCTGGCAGTGTACTTCAAACAACTAAACAAAAGAGCTAAACAAAACTCAACTATCTATCTATGAACAGACTGTTGTAAATAGACTTAAAAAGAATATCTCAGCACTGCTGGAAGCCCATTTCACACAGTTAACCAATCGTAGTTGGGGGAGGTCTCAGAACAAACGAGACAGAGAATGGGACCAATCACAGTCAGGGGAAGGTCCCATAACAAACGAGGCATCAATAAACAATTAAGAAAAACAAAACTGCATACTTAGAATCTTTAATATTCTAAATATTCTGTTTTGTTTCAGAGCAATTTCAGATATTTTTGTAATTTCTCTAACAATATTTTGAAATATACTCAGTAAGGTTGGTTTAAGGCAGAACCTGAGGGTCAGTCAGGCGCTGGGGGTCTGGATAGACGTAGAAGAGGATGCCCTGCAGGGCACCTGGCAGAGTCAGCCCCCGAATCAGCAGCACCAGCAGCATGACGTAGGGGAAGGTAGCTGTGAAGTACACCACCTGGTGGCAACGGAGGAAACTGATTCAGTATATTGTACTGTTCACCACTATTTAAGGAGGCACAGCTTTTGCACAAGTAAAGGTGCTTTATTAACCAAGTGTTTTTGGCCACATTCATATATACTGTACATATACATCTCTGTGACAAATTGATATACATACCTCTGTGACAAACTAGTGCACACACCTTGCCAGTGGACTTAACGCCCTTCCAGATGGAGAAATAGCAGATGACCCACATTGCAATCACACAGAGGAGGATCTCCCAGTTGACCTTACCCAGCTCTTCAATTCCACCAGAGATGGCCAGCACTCTGCGCCTGGACAGCAGGTAAAGGGAGAATGACCACATCTGGAATTAACATTTAATATTTTGGTCCTGTCTACCAAAATGCTAATATTCTACAAATGTATATGATCAGAAATGAACGTTATGCAGTTATTAACTGAGGATTTTCCACCTTATGGGTCTTTCCACAGCTAAAGGCTCAGATAAAACTTGTTGAATTCTTGCTGATGTATATAAGGACATTTCCTGTAAGCCCACTTACTCCCAGAACTCAGTGGCCGCTGATGTTGAATTCATTTGTCCCGTCCAGTTGAGTGTGAGGTTTTTAACAGCAACATTGCAATGATCTAAGGAAGAGAGAAAACTTGAAATTATTATATTATTATGTTATTATTATATTGTAATTACAATATACACAACACACAATTACAAAGTCAGCAAACCGGGAGCCTAAATTATGCTTATAAGCGAAATTAAATACATAGTTTTGGTGTGGCTTTGTTTTGTACCTGTGTTCCAGGTGTTGTTGCAGGTGGCCCAGGGCAGCTGGGAGCTGAAGGAGAACACCAGGTAGAACAGTGCCCAGGCCAGGAGAGTATTGTAACACATGCTACTGTACACCAAAATCATCTGACCTCCATAGCCAACTCCTGACCAGGGAATACAGACAGAATCCACAGAGCAATACAATATAGCATATGGTGATCGTAGAGCTGTATGATAGAACATTTGGTGACCATAGAACTGTATGATAGAACATATGGTGACCATAGAGCATATGGTGATCGTAGAGCTGTATGATAGAACATTTGGTGACCATAGAACTGTATGATAGAACATATGGTGACCATAGAGCATATGGTGATCATAGAGCTGCATGATAGAACACTTGGTGACCATAGAGCTGTATAATAGAGCAATAGCTGTTCATATAAGGGAACATATGATGACTACAGAGCTGTATATGTTAGAGCATACTGTGATCATTGAGTTGTATGATGCAAACAGAGTTATGCGATAGAATATATAGTGATCATAAAGTTAAATGATAGAGCTGTATGATAGAGCATATGGTGATCATAGAGCTGTATAATAGAGCATATGGTGATCACAGAGCTGTATAATGGAGTATATGGTGTTTGTAGAGCACATGGTAATCATAGAGCTGAATGATAAAAGCATATGGTGATCATAAAGCTATATGATAGAGCACATGGTAATCATCAAGCTGTATGATAGAGTTATACGATAGGGCTATTGTGACTGTAGAGCTAGAGTGTCCACAGAGCTAACAGCAAGTGAGTCAGTCAGACACTCTGTCTCAGTAATAAATCTGTTCTCTGTAGATTCATTTGCTGCTTATTCATTAAACCAAAAAAATTCAATGTTAAACTTCAAATGTTCCAAAGTTCTTCAGCTCGTTGGTTATACCTGCTGAAGTTGCCTGGTTGTGAAATACCTTCAGTGTATCAGAGATGTATCACCCAGTCAGTCAGCTGTTTCAGTTCTAAACCAAGGAAAAGTACTCTGTCCTAACATTAGATTAGAAGTTCTAGTTGATTAAAAGTAGATCAAGTTCTAGTTGTTTCAGTTAGAACAGCAAAATGCTGCCCTGGAGCCTCTTTTACTGCCCTGTTGTGGCTCCACAGCTGAATCAGATCTAGTAGGTAAAAATAAAATAATCCTCCTTTACAGTAAAATAAAGCTCTGCTGATCGTTCAACACAGTTTAACAATAAATGGTCTTAAACTCTGGAGTTAATGTAGAACTGCTGATTCACCCTTTAACCCTGAAGATCAGCGCAGACTGCTGGTCACCACAGCAACACGGACAACAGTCTCGCCTAGCTAGCAGCTAACGAAACGGCAAAGCGAGAGATTTAAGACGAACATCGATAATTTGGAGATTAAAGGATTTATTTGCATTTATAATCACTCCAGCTGGTTTCCTGATACGTTTAATCCGCAGTGAGAAACTGAAACACTAAAAAGTTGTGAAGCTGAAGTCAGTTTTCTTGCTCACCAGCTTGTAACAGTTACGACTTTGTAAACCCACTGTCAGAATTTCAAAAAGGGGAGCACCATCCACTAAGAGTGTTTTAACTTGTTTACTGTACCCAAAGTGCATCAAAACACAAGTAACCCCAGCTGTCTGTTGGTGAGGATGCTGAATGTGATGTAATGGCGCTCACCCTCAGCCAGAGGGCAGAGACGCTGCCAGCATGTGATGCCCCCCTGCTGGGTGTACTGCCCCATAGCTGTCTCCAGGAGGAACAGGGGCACCCCACAGGTCACCGCAAACACCAAATACGGCACTAGGAACGTCCCTGAGAACACACCAAGAACATCATGTCTGTTTCAGACACCATACTGATTTTCTGTAGAGCCACAAAAATGACTGACCTGTAGAATTGAACTAAATATTCTGCCTCTGTTTGCTTTATAGGCACTGGGAAGTGTGTCTTTGAGTGTTTAACTCACAGCCAGTATCAGCAGCCTTATATCATGTTTCAAAAGCTGTTCATTGGATCGTAGTACAGCTTGTTCCAGTCTAAACAACACAAATTGTGGCGTTTCCCCAAGGATCAATATTGGGGCCATTATTGTTTTTGTTTTATGGCAGCAAAGAGTGTCCTTTTTTGTTTTCTAACAGCAGCAGTACTTCTTGATAAATCTGCCCATCTATAAACTCTGAATTATATAATATTAAACACTAATCAGCTGAATTATCCTTTAACTTTTTAAAACAGTATATTCATTTCATTCAGTGTAATGTTACAGAAGACATCTCAGTTAATATCTACCTTCTTTATAAGTATACTGTTTTGTTTTTTTTAGACCACGGCCCACCACAAATATTTTGGCCTCCCAGGACGAAAAGTTTGACCACCTGCACGTCCAATATGACCTGGTCATTTTTGTTTTTTTTTCCATAATTTAAAAATGTTTCAACTTCAAGGCAAATGGACCAATAAAAACTGTCCAAATTTGCTTAAAATAATGTAAATCATTGACATTGACATATACTGAATGTTAATTCTGCTGTAAAGATTCAGCAGAAAGAATCAGCACAGGAACTGAAGTTTGTTCAGCTCTGTTCTTCTATTTTTGGATCTTTTGGTCTATAATAAAACACTAAAGCTCCACAGTGAGAGGAGTGACCAACAGGAAAGCAGAACAGGAGCTGAACCAGCACAGCAGAATGAAATTAAAATTAAACCCAATATAGGAAATTAACTAAATGTTAATGACTGTAATAGAGCTGAGGGGACAGTAGATCACTGCACTCACTGGAGTAGAGCTGAAAATGTTATAAATACTCAAATCCATCAAAATTGTGCTTAAGATAAAGGAACCTGTGTGTTCTTACCTCCTCCGTTCTTGTAGCAGAGGTAGGGGAACCTCCACACGTTTCCCAGACCCACCACGTTCCCCGCCACTGCCAGAAGAAACTCTGTTTTACTGGCCCAGTGCCCTCGCTCCTCCACCTGTCCATCTGCTCCCTTCATCTCCTCTCGGTTCTCCTACTGCTTTGGCGGATCGTCCTGTAGAACAAAGTGAGATAACAGATCGGTGGGAGAGTTCTGGACACTCAGTGCTGGACTGGGGCAGTGATGGAGATCAGCTGTACAGTAAAGTAAAAGTAGGTACTTATTGACCCGCAGTGACCTGGTTTATATTCAGACCAGAACAAGGGTCACATCAACTGAACCTTCAAATGTCCTGAGTCACTGTGAATAAAACAGATCTAAATAAAAAGGTAGAAATATTAGACGAGTCCAGAGTGATGGACAGACTGAGAAAACTACGGACCATCCAGATTCAAGTTCTAATAAAATTAACGTCCAGAATGAAGTTCTAAAGAAATTAATATTTAGAGTGAAGTTTTCATAAAATTAACATCAATAATTCTAATAAAAACCTAAAAATTAATATCAGAAATGAAGTTCTAGTAAAATGAATAATAAGAACAAAATTCTAATAAAATCAATGTTTGGAAAGAAATTCTACAAAAAAAAACATCCAGAATGGAGTTTAATAAAATTATCATCCAGAATAAAGTTCTGATTAAATGGACATCCAGAATGATGCTGTATTTTTTTGTTGTTACCCAGAATTCAGCACATTTCAGAAGTGAACGTCTGTTACGGTTCTCCTTCACTCTTAACAATAAAGAGTCATAAATAAAGAGTTCTTTAGAGTGATGCCACAGAGGAACCGTTTCAGTTGGTGGCGCTTCAGAGGAACTTTCTGACTCTGAGATGTGTGTGAAGAACTTTTTACAGTTTAAAGAACCTCTGCATGATATATATATTAGTTAAAGGTTTCTGCTAGAACAATTCATACAAGCCAAGAACCGAATAAGCATGTAAGAGTATTATAAACGCGATTTGTCGCTGCTGCTGTATTGATTTTGATATGTAAACAACAAGATCGAACAAAATTCCTGCATAATTTAAAGTTTAAAATGTACCGAGGTCTCAGAGTTCCCTTCCCTCCTGCGGCCGTACAGACTCTTCTCAGACTGTGAGATACAGTGCATGTGTTTATGTTGACCTATTCCTGTTAACAGTTATTTGTTACTGTTGTGTAATTATTATTATTTACTGTATTATTTAGTATTTTTATTTTATTGTGTTAATTATTTCAGTTAATTTTATTAAGTAATCTCACTATATTGCTTTATTAAAACAGTGAGATCATTCACTTAATAAAACGACGTAAAAAAGTTAAAACTTGTTTAGAAGAGAGTTAAAGTTTCTGTATCATGGAAAAACAAATTTTCCTGTTGGTTTTTAAAAGAGATTAATTAATTAAGTTTCTAAATGTACCATTCACTCCTAGTGTTTACAGTTAATATAAACAGCTTGTTTTGATCACTGCAATCACACATTCACACATCTGCCCATTCAGCCTACAGCACTTTAGCCCCACCCATTCAGCTCCACCCATTCAGCCTACAGCACTTTAGCCCCACCCATTCAGCTCCACCCATTCAGCCTACAGCACTTTAGCCCCACCCATTCAGCTCCACCCATTCAGCCTACAGCAGTTTAGCCCCACCTATTCAGCCCCACCCATTCAGCCTACAGCACATTAGCCCCACCCATTCAGCTCCACCCATTCAGCCTACAGCACTTTAGCCCCACCCATTCAGCCTACAGCACATTAGCCCCACCCATTCAGCTCCACCCATTCAGCCTACAGCACTTTAGCCCCACCCATTCAGCCTACAGCACTTTAGCCCCACCCATTCAGCTCCACCCATTCAGCCTACAGCAGTTTAGCCCCACCCATTCAGCCTACAGCAGTCTAGCTTCGCCCATTCAGCCTACAGCAGTTTAGAAAAGAGTAGACTTATATATGTAAATGAGCTCTGTTCTGAATGGCAGCCAGATCAGCCATAACAATAAGGCCACCTCCTTGTTTCTACACTCATTGTCCATTTTATCAGCTCAACTTAAACACTGTGTCCACTCACTGTCCACTCTATTAGACACTCCTACCTTGTCAGTCCACCTTGTAGATGTAAAGTCAGAGACGATAGCTCATCTGCTGGACTACAGTCTGTAACTGTAGACCTACAGAGTGAAACTATATGGTCAGGGGAGCTGATAGAGTGGACAGTGAGTGTAGAAACAAAAAGCAAAATGCCGCCTATCAGACATATTTGCATGTTATATATATTATGCATGTCACTGCTGTCGGAACAAAACCTCGTATCTTCAAAATGGTCACTTTATAGTAGATGGGAAAAACGTACTGTACTTTTAATGTAAGTCAATGGAACCAGAATGTTTTCCCAGGTAATTTTGGTCCGTTTCTTGTAGTCCATTCATCATGAAATTGACACACAATGTAAAAAGCAACACATTTTCAAATTATGTCAAAAACTGAAAAATGACAGAAATGGAGATACGAGGTTTTCTTCCGACAACAGTGTAATATGTTCAATATTTGATACAGAAATATATATATATATATATATATATATATATATATATATATATATATATATATATGTGTGTGTGTGTATATATATATTTATTTATGGCCATTAATAATATATTTGCATGTATGGCCATAAATCAGATTTCTGTTGGGGAAAGTTTCAGAAAGTTCTATAGGAGACGCTCCTACAGTTCTTTTACAGTCCAGGCGGTGCCGCTGTGGTTCTCCAACCCGAATAAAGCGGAGAAGAAGATGATCCGGAGCTCCACGCCTCCGCGGGTCTGCGGTGTTGTGGGAGACGGAGGAGCAGAGCTGCTGTGGAGGAGGAGGAGCTCTGATTATGAAATGTCCATTTAATGTTCTGCAGAGATCACTGCAGAGCGGTTAGAGGTGTTCTGATTTCAGGTGTAAAGCAGGTAAGCCAGCCTCTTGTTAGAATTTTCCGGTCCACCTTAAACGGTGCAGCAGTTACATTGTGGCGCCTCAGGCATCAGAACGTAACTGCTGCACCATTTAAGGTGGAACGATAATTCTGAACCAACTGAGTTTAGTAATGTTTACTAGTTGATTTTATGCTCTGTGTCATTTACAGTAGATATATGTTTAAAATCCCACAGCATGTTTATGTCAGTGGTTTATTGTCTATTAAACTGATATGAAAACAATGTGCCGAGGAGATGACGTCATACAGGATGTGGACACTTAAATATGGCAAAAATATGGTCTGAAATTTGTGCGTATTGAGTTTAATGAGAATGTGACTGCTTTTTGGCCCGGCTGTAGAAGCTGTCCTGGAAGCTGGTGGTCCCTTTTGACCCCTTACTCACTCCCCAGACCTCCTGAGACCAGGGGTGCACAAACTTTTTGTCTTGGGGGAGGGGCAGAATGTTTGTGGTGGGCCGAGGTTAAAACCCCAGAATATACAAATATAGAAGGTTAAAACTGAGATTTTGAGAATGTGTGTTATTACACTGCACACCTAAACATGGTTCTTCAAGGGTTCTTTAGGAAAAGCAATGGTACAGTTCAGAGCTATAGGTTCTATATAGAACCGTCTGCGTGCTTAAATGGTTCTTTGCATGGTGAAATGGTTCTGAAGAGTGATGGAGAACATGTGTTTTTTTTGAAAATGGTTCTGTATAGTATTCTCAAGCTTATAACAATAGCAGAACCTTTTTGGTGCTGTGTAGAACCACATACGACACATTCTGCATTTCACCATGCAAAGAACCATTTTAGGATGCTATATAGGTTCTATATAGAACCGTTGTCGTGGAGAACCATCTCTTTAAAATGAGTATAGAACCATCTGAGTGATTAAGTGGTTCTGTGCATGGTGAAATGGTTTTTCAGATCAATGGAGAATGTGTTGTATATGGTACTGTATAGCACCAAATCAAACGTCCTCATGGAGCAGGCTAATGGTGCAGGTGTGTTTATGATGTCGACCCTTCTGCAGTAGGAGAACATCGCCTTCTAGTGCGTTAGAACAGTTTGTTTTTTGGACTATTTGATTCCAGACAAGTTTGAGAGTCGATTCTAATTCCAGTTCCAGGTGACGGGAATCAATTCCAAGAGTCGATTCCACACAATCCACTCGATTCCAAAAACCCAGACATAGAGAAGCACTTCTGGCAGAACTGGAGTACAGTGTTAATTATAATTTCCTTTAATGAGGAAATTTGGAGAGCTAATGCTAACTAAATTAGCTTAGCTGACTGTACCTGACTCTCCTGTCGGCCCCTTCAGGTGGGCAGCTGAGAGGAATTATTATTAAAAGGGTATAAGACAAACTAAAAAAGGAAACTGTGAGACAAATGAGATTAAGAAAAAGCTACTAAGCAGATTTGTATAGAAATGAAACACTACTAAGACAGTAAGTTATGATAAAATCTATAATCAAATAAATTACACCAATAAAAACTCAAAATAAGCAAAAAAAAGAAAATGACTGAAATAAACTAAAGACCCAAACTAAGTTGAGCTAAAACAGTTGCACACTGAGTGGAGGAAGTTGGAGATTTTAAAATTCATCTGGAGTTTTACAGTTTCCTGTAAGCAGATTTCAGCTGGAATGTTGGACTGTTGATGTGTGTGTGTTGTGAAAGGCTGTGTTTTTCGTACAGACATAAACTTTTTGACCTGAATGAAAGAACTGATACCAAACTGGGGGTTTTAGGAAGTGGCTCCCTATTAACACTGCAGCGTGTCAGTGGAGAGGGACTGGAGTCTCAGCAGTGGAGAAATGTTGGTTAATGATCGCTCCTTTTTATGTTCAGAGCCCTGAGATGAAGCTTCACTGTTACTCTTTGATCGATCCGCCTCAGAGTGGACGCTCTGGACGCTCAAATCAGATTTCAAAGTGTCTTTTTCGTCACTCGCAACACGACAAACAGTGACGATGTGAAATCCAGAGAGATGAAGTGTTGGAATTCAAGAAGAGCTCCAGAGATTCATGATGATGAAGAGAGTTCTGAGGAGTTTGGAGGGGAGATGATGCTCCTCCATCTCTCCTGCAGCCGCGACTGAAATCAGCGTCACCAGCGTAGCTACGTAGTTACTGGCGCCTACGTCGTTACCACGGCAACCCATGCAGATATACTGGTGACGTCTGGACACACAAATCTGATCTGATCACTTACAGATAACAGAGCGGACAGTCGACTCAAAAGATCAGATTTGAGGAACTAATCCGATTCGCCTGCAGTCTGAACACAGACTTAGGCTACGTTTACACAGCAGGTAAAAGTGGCCCAAATCCAATCTTTTTCCTCAAATGTGACACAGATGTGTGTCTGTGTGTCAGTGTGAACAGATAAACACACTGAATCTGACATTTTCAATTCCGATTTGAGGCACTTTCTTATGTGGTACTGAAATCCGATACCTATCCGATCTGAGGCAATGCGACTCAGTCTGAACAGCCAGATCGGAATTCATGCAACTTTTACGTCAGTCCAACTCAACATTCGTCATAATTTTGCGCTGCTTAGACTCATAAACATTTAGTCTGATGTTTCTGTACCAAATCTCATCAAACCGCTCCGTGTTTGAAGAGGTTTCAAACGAATCGGCCGAACGCGGCCGGAGGAGACCGAGGCTGCAGCGTCAGAGAACAGTTTAAAGAATCCGAGGACACGAACCAAAGAAGTGGCCGAATAACGCGCCCCTTTTATGGTGAACTCGAACACACTGTGGGTGATGAATCCAGCTGTCAACCACTGGAACTTTATACTCACTCATGTGTTGCTGGCGAAGATGAAACTGAAGCTCCGGGAGCGACTGGTGTTCGCTGGCCGTCATGGCAGTTTACCTCTGGACGAGCCGCCTCGTGAAGCACTGTTCTTTTGCGCATGTGGGTCGGTTTAGGAGCTGATCTGTTCAGACTGATGTCGCATACAGGTCACATTTTAAAAGATAATGTGAACAGCCAAACAAAAAATGGGATTTGATGAGAAAATCAGATTTGGGCCGCTGTGTAAACGTAGCCTTTGACTCTTTTACGGCCTTTTATAAACCCCTGTGTTTGGATCAGTTGTTTGTGAAGTCTGTGTTATACCTGAGTTCTGAGTGTGTTGTCTTTGTATTGTTTTCCTGTGTTCATCCCTGCTTTGCCTTCTTGGTTTTCCCAGTATGGATCTGCCTCTTGTTTTGCCTGCCTGTGATTCGACCCCTGCCTGTTTTATGAGATTTATGAGTGTCGGACTGTCGCAAATAAAGCCATTTCGCACTTGCGACCAACTTATAAGCCTCCAACGTTACACCTAGCATTGAAAGCTCTGATTCAGCTCTGATTCAATCTGCTTATTAAAGCATCCACACAGATCTAATTGGCTTTGTTTAAAATTGTGAAAACAGTGGAAAAACGACATAAAGCTAGTCAGGAAGCTAACACTGTTATTAGAATTGAGATCCAGCTGTCTTTCAAGTAAGTGGAGTTTGAACTACACATATAGAATCTCAGTTATATTAGTTACCGTTTGGTTGGTTCTTGTTTTTGAAGCTTTGTTTTTTTGTTTTTGTTTGTTTTCATCCAGAAACAAAACAGACTTTATCCTACTTTGATGCTTTTCCCATTTTCTTTGTTTTTCCTTTTTCTTTTCCAGAAAATAATGATGTCCTGTTGCGAGTCACCTCCTACTCCTAGTGTCAACCTTCCTACACAGCTCAAATCTACTTCTGCAAACATGTCAGGAGATGCCTCTGAAGAGGAATACGGCCCGCTGCTGACATCAGAGGAGATTAAATGTGAAAGCATTGAGTCCGGAATAAGCTCCAGCACTCCGCAAGAGTCCTCCGTTACCGTCTGTGCCGAGACATCTCTGAGACAAACGCAGAGCAGTGCAGGCAAGAAGAGAACTCACCACTGCTCAGATTGCGGGAAGAGTTTTATTCAGCTGTGCCATCTCCAGGTTCACCAACGCATTCACACCGGAGAGAAGCCGTATCCCTGCTCGGAATGTGGAATGAGATTTAATCTGCAGAGTAATCTCTCAAAACACAGGCGCATTCACACCGGAGAGAAACCGTACACCTGCTCAGAGTGCGGGAAAAGTTTCCGAGAAAGAGGTACCCTCAAAAAACACGAGCGCGTTCATACGGGAGAGAAGCCATACTGCTGCTCGGTGTGCGGGAAGAGCTTCAATCAACAAAGTAGTTTCCAAATCCACCAACGAATTCACACCGGAGAGAAGCCGTACGACTGCTCGGTGTGTGGAAGGAGTTTTAGGGACCGAGGAACCCTCAAAAAACATGAGTACGTCCACACGGCAGAGAAGCCGTATCACTGTTCAGACTGCGGAAGGAATTTTAGTCAGCAGGGCACCCTCCAAAAACACCAGCGCATTCACACTGGAGAGACGCCGTATCACTGCTCGTACTGCGGGATGCGTTTCAAGCAGTACAGTAGTCTCCACCTGCACCTGTACAGTCACATAGAGGAGAAGCCGTACTGCTGTTCAGAATGCGGGAAGGGTTTTACTCTACAGACGACTCTACAAAGACACCAGAGAATCCACACAGGAGAGAAGCCGTACTATTGCTCCGAGTGTGGGCGGAGCTTCAGGCATTCCAACACTTTAAAGAAACATAAGTGCGTTAAGGTTGATGTGAGAACTCCGGACATTCATGACGTTCATGATTCGTGAGAAGTGTAGCTAATGTTGGAATCATCTAGTGCCTAGTGACGGTTAGTTACTACAGTCTCCATTGATGGTAAAAGGTCACTGGTTTGAAAAAATATAGTTTAATATATTGATGTATTTTGCGTAAACCATAACAAGACACTAGTAGTCCCTCGTGTGAACATAACTGCGCTTTTAAGATGTTTGGTGATTTTTATATTCTGCATTAATACCACATTTATTACTTTGCATTGATAAGATCTTTCTAGAAACGTGGCTGCGCTGGTTGAACGCGGTCAGTGCTGCGGGTGCTACATTTTACAACGTCCTTAGACCACAGCATCAGGTTTCAGACATCAGACAGACAGCTTCAGAAATAAGTTCAGAGAATCAAGCATCAGGATAAGTGCCCAGAAACTCTCCTGCGCCTGCTTTGGTGTAAGGGACTGTTGTTGCAAAGGAAAAACATCCCTTCCCAACCTGGTTTAACCAGTTATCATGGTTATTTTCCACATAGTTAACAGATTAAGAAAACTCTGTTACCGGCACAAGCCTAGAGTCATCTGTCAAGCAACTAGCAGCACCTGTGGTGGTCTCTGTCCATTGATGAATGGATTGGAGGGTGGTTGGTAAAATGGTCAAAGTCAAATTTGTCAGCTTTGTGTTGAATAGGGAAATATAGTGAATCTGGGGCATGGTGCTACATGTAACTCTACTACTGTACAAACACTAAACAACAAAAATGATATCTAGGACAGTGGACTGCAAGGTTGTTTAAGGAAAACCTTTGTTAGTCCACAACAGCAATGTATGTTTGTAAATGTTTTATTGTCAGTGCACACTACTAATAGTAATACAACCCCATTTCCAAAAAAGTTGGGACGCTGTGCAGAATTTATGTAAATATAGAATGCAGTGATGAGCAAATCATGTAAACCATATTTTTAAAGGAAAAATAGTACAAAGGCAACATATCAAGTGTTGTAACTGAGAAATTTCATTGTTTTTTTGAAAAATATTTGCCCATTTCGAATTTGATGCCAACAACATGTTCCAAAAAAGTTGGGACGGGGGCCTGTTTACTGCTGTGTTTCATCACCTTTTAACTCTGTAAGCGTTTGGGAAGTGAGGAGACACTGCTGTAGTTTAGAAAGTGAAATGTTTTCCTGTTCTTGTTTGATACAGGATTTCAGCTGCTCATCAGTTCAGGGTGTCCTTTGTTGTATTTTTCATTTCATAATGTGGCAAATGTTCTCAATGCTGACAGGTCTGGACTGCAGGCAGGTCAGTTTAGCACCCCGACTTTTTTAATATGGAGCAATGCTGCTGTAATACATGCAGAATGTGGTTTTACATTGTCTTGCTGAATTAATCAAGGCCTTCCCTGAAAAAGACGTCGTCTGGATGGCAGCATGTGTTGTCAAAACCTGTATATATTGTCCACCATTAATGGTGCCTTCACAGATGTGCACGTCACCCATGCCATTTGTACTAATGCACCCCTACACCATCATGAATACTGGCTTTTGAACTGTGCACTGATAACAAGCCGAGTGGTCTTTAGCCTGGAAGACACAGTGTTGATGACTTCCAAAAAGAATTTCAAATTTTGATTCATCAGACCACAGGACACTTTTCCACTTTGCCTCAGTCCATTTTAAATGAGCTTGGGCCCAGAGAAGGTGGCAGCGTTTCTGGATCCTGTTTATATTTGGTTTCTTCTTTGTGTTTTAGAGTTTTAACTGTCATTTGTGGATGCAGTGATGAACTGTTTTCACAGACAGTGGTTTTCAGAAGTGTTTCTGACTCAATGCGGTGATTTCCACTACAGAATCATGTCTGTTTTTAATGCAGTGCTGTCTGAGGGCCCAAAGATCACAACCAGCATATTCTGGTTTTTGGCCTCGTCCCTTACATACAGAGATTTCTCCAGATTCTCTGAATCTTTTAATGTTATTATGTACCGTAGATGATGAAAAGTAGAAGTTCTTTACTCTTTTACGTTGAGAGACATTATTCTTGAATTGTTGCACTATTTGATTGTGCAGTCTTTCACTGACCTGTTGACATTTCTCAGTTTCAACATTTGGTATGTTGTCTTTGTACTATTTTCAGTTAAATATAGGGTTTAAATGATTTGCACATCATTGCATTTTTTTTTTTTTATTTACATTTTGCACTGTGTCCCAACTTTTTTGGAAATGGGGTTGTAGTTATTAAGGCCCCCACATACTAAACACACCAAAAGTGTCCAAAAAAATACGAAGCCATAGTTTTAAATGAGTATTCCGACATTCAGCAACCTCCAGCTCAACAGCAGTACTCAGCATTTTGCTTTATCAGCATTAAATTAAGCTGTGTCTAAAACCACATACTGTTATACTACACATACTACACTAATGAATGGACTTCTGTTGGTGGTGTGTTCCTTTTGACTACTATTTAGTGTGGTATTATGCAGTTTTGGATGAAGCTTTAAACCCAGACCGAGACCACAAAAATGGAGAGTAGATGACACGTGGCTTTGAATTTATACAGAGGAAGGAAGCCAATCTGAAGTCTTAAATGGCTAAAGTTACTTACCTCGTATATTTCAAGTTAAGAACAGTGAAGAGCTGGCTAGTCGACCGCAAATCTGATAAATTTTACGAAATGCAATGCATTCTAAATGGCATAGTTGCACTTTGTAGTATCTGCTATGAGTCGCGGTACATCTGGTGTGCAGTGACCTTTAGTCCTTAGCTGTAGATCTCATTGTATAAGTCCAGAGCACACTGACCAAACATTTAGAAATCCAGAAAAAGAACTGACAAGTCAAATGAATCAGATGGAATGGGGTAGAACATTGTAGGTCTGTTGGTGTCTGTCTGGTCACTGTGCTTTTGCCTTAACAGTGTAGATGCTGAGTACAGTGGAAATTGTCCTGTGCGTATAAAGGGAAGTGAAATGTAAACTGTCTTGTGAAGTGAATCGGTACAGTACAGTAGATGAGTGAAGGGCCATAGTCAGATCAAAATGGTTGAAGGACCATCAGGCAGATCTGTTCTTTACCACTTACTGCAGTGTGTTCCTCTCTGAGATCAAGCAGTTCCCATACCAGATAGTGGTTCTACATGTTAAGATGTTTTCTGTGATGCTAGACAGTGATACTAAAGGTCAGGAAGTTTGACATGACATCAGACAATGATTCTACAGATCAGGATGTTCTCTGTGATACCCAACTGTGATTCTACAGGTTAGGATGTTCTCTGCAATACCAAACTGTGTTGCTGCAGGTCAGGATGTTCTGTATGATGCCAGACAGTAATGCTGCAGGTCAGGATGCTTTCAAAGACGCCAGACAGTCATGCTACAGGTTAGGATTCTCTGTTCAATACCACACAGTAATTCTACAAGACACTGCACAGTGGTGCTACAGGTCAGGACGTTCTCCCTGATATCAAACAGTGATACTGCAGGTCAGCACGAGCTCTACAATCCCAGACAGTGATGCTACAGGTCAGGTTGTTCTCTACAAGACACTACGCAGTGGTGCTACAGGTCAGGTTGTTCTCTACAAGACACTACGCAGTGGTGCTACAGGTCAGGGTGTTCTCTACAAGGCCAGACAGTGGTGCGACAAGTCAGGATGTTCTCTACAAGACCAGACAGTGGTACTGCAGGTCAGGATGTTCTACATGATACCAAACAGTGATTCTACAGATGCTCTATGTTACCAGATAGTGGTGCTACAGTTTAGGATGTTTTCCATGACACCAGACAGTCATGCTACAGGTCAAGACATTCTCTACAATACCAGACAGTGATGCTACAGGTCAGGATGCTTCTACGATACCAGATAGTAATGCTACAGGTCAGGATAAGAGTGGGCGATATAATATTGCAGTGGTCCTACAGGTCATGATGTTTTCTGTGATACCAGACAGTAATACTAAAGGTCAGTAAGTTCTCTTTGATGATAGACAGTGATGTTACAGGTCAGGGTGTTTTCTGTGATGCGTCTCCTGAATCTTTTGAGGATAGGTGTGCGCATGCTAGTCCTCCTCAGTCTTTTAGAAAGTAGAGAACTTGTGCCTTTATCACCGCTTCAGGGACCAGGATAGATCATCAGTGATGTGCACTCCCAGGAACTTGAAGTACTGCTAATGTGCAGAACATTGTGAGCCACACACATTCTGAAGTCAGCAGTCATCTTATTTGTCTTGTTGACATTCGTAGATTCGAGATTGTTCTTGCACCAGACCTCCATCTGTCCAACTTCCCTCTGTAGGCTCATCACTGTTGATGATGATGCCCACAGTGATTACTGTGATATCTGGTGACCCATTCAGCGATGAGGACTACAGCAGAGATCTCTGTATACAGTTCTGGGAGGGTTCCAGTGTTTAGGGTGATGGTGTGGTGCAGCAAATTGTGCAGCAGTATATGTGTACAGTCAGTAAACATGTACCTCCATTAGGTCTACCTCATAATCTGGCAGCTCAGTGTACAAGGTTTTTGGAAAGGACCAGATGTACACTGTACTTCAGCCTAGAACCCCCAAGGAAGTCAACGGAACAGTAAGACTACACACTAAATAACATGGTTTTTCAGGGGTTCTTTAGTAACGGAAATGGTTCTGTTTGGCACCACCAGTTCAATATAGAACCATTTCCTCCGTGGGTTCTACAACACACTTGGAAAGGGAGGGGTGAGGGAGGGGACTCAGCTGGTTGCAGTCTGCAAACTCACCATTAAATGCCACAAAATCTTATTGCGCCTTTAAAAAATGTATTTAAAATATATTTGAATATTTGACAAACAAGGGATCCCGTCCCTGATCCCGTCTGACAGCCTTGTATATATTTTCTGGATGCTAGATGTGTCTACAAACTTTTGGACATACTGTGCATTTTTTTAAGAATCCTTTTTTTTCCTGCTTCTGTCCAACTTCAAAACTTTTAAAATCCGACAAGGGCCCTTTGACATTGTGGACTCGTTTTTATTACTAAAGTCTTGTATCATGTTGACTGTTTTTACATTTTAACTCTTTTACATTTAAGTGAATTCACACGTTTTTGTTTACCTACTGTTTGTGAGATTTCTGGCTTCGTTACTAATTTATATACCTTGATGCCAATACCCAGCAAATATGAATAAACGTTTTCTTAAAAATTAAAACCTTCTGCAGATTCATTCTTTTATTTTATTACTAATATGTGCATGATTATATATAATAAGCAATATTATATAGAGAAATATACCTATTGTAAATTCAACTTTTTATTTTATAGCAGTCTCTATACAGGATTGCTTTCTTTCTTCTTGATATGATTGTTTTTATACAGTATTGCAAAATATACTTAAAATAAGCATAAAAATAACATTTAAACCCTTTTTCAAAGTTAATTAGATCTTTTCCTCTTAATCATCTCAGTCCTTGGACCTGCTCAGTACTTTTATACCTGACGCAGATCATAATACACTCTTATGGTTCTTCAACAGTTCTTTAGTAAAGACAGTGGTTCTATTTAGAGCCATTCATGGTGGAGGGATACATGCAGGGCGCTGTGAAGCAAAATAGTCCCCAAAGAAAACTTATTATTTCAGATTTTCCACTATTTTCCATCATCAACATTCCATATAAACTCAGAAGACTCGTGTAGGTTCACTGGTGGTTCTGGATAGTAAATAAAATGTCTATATTTGTGTTGTAGTCATGGCGACCCCTGGTTCCTATCAGCACCAGTGTAAACACATCTGAACTGTTTCACACCAAACCACTCTGAATCTCTCTGTTTACAGCTCACACACTGCTGCTGTGTGTCTCCAGGAAGAAGGTGGAGATGGAGAGATGCTCCCTCATACACAGCTTTATTGAGCGCTGTGGTTAGTGATGAACAGGGGGGCTTTTA